CATGATCGTACTAAACATGTTGAGGTGGATCGACACTTCATCAAACAGAAGCTTGAGGCTAAAGTGTTTCAGTTTCCTTTTGTGAAATCCAAGGATCAATTGGCGGATATTTTGACAAAGGCGATTTCCAGTAAAGCATTCTACAATTCACTGGATCAGTTGGGCATTGTCGACATCTATGCACCAACGTGAGGGGGAGTGTTGGCGTGACTTGTGGATATTGACTTACTTTTCTTACACACCAAGAATTCCTATTATAATTATAATTGATTTACTTTAATTCTTGATTTCCTATTGTAAATAGATTTATGAATTTATTATTTACTTGCTCATTCAGGTTTTGTTGTATTATAAATATGACCTCCTACAAGGAGAAGAATACATAGAAAATTCTCACAAACAAATATTTTCTCATAGTTTTCATATTTTAGCATCTTCTACCGTTATTATTGTACAATTCCTTAGTTGCATAAGGACCACAAAATAAATATCTTGAACAAGTGGAAACACCTTTTTTCCCACACACACTATATTGAAACCACTTCACTCTCCACTACCTGTACATGGACTAATAGGCAACAAATTAAAGTAATCATCTTGTAATCTTAATCTAAAGCAACTTTCATGGTCATGAAGTAACCCTTAATCTTCTTCAAGGGGTGACACTTCCATTTCGGATATCCATTTTCTTCAGCTTTTTGGAGTGTCACACTAGGCTGGCTGTCGTTTTGTGAAATTTTGTTTGTGGAAACACATGCATCATGCACCAAATGCTCTGAAAAATTACCACGATGGACTTTTGTTGCTTTTAGTATTCTCTACCACTGCAATGGCTTCATGTATTTAAGGTCTGTATTGAGATTGTGAGTTAAGCTCTGTCTGCTACAGATCATGCACTGAAAACCCTGATCTGTGAAGACAAGCTTTCGATGGGCACGTTTGTTGGACACATAGTTCCCGGGTTTGCACTCACCCTCCTTGGTTTATGGCACACCATCAACACTATCAGATCTTATTTTCTCAGGGGCCCTAGTAACTTTAGAGTAAGGTTTTGGCACCCATTCAATTCCCCTCTTTCCAAACTCAAACACTTGGAGCTCATTTTCATCTTATCTTTCTCTGTATTGGCAATTTTCATGCAAGTTTTAGACTTCCCTTTTCTTCAACTCTCTTTCAAGCTCCACAACTTGGAGCATGCAACTATGTTCCTCCACCTAGTCGTATTTGCAGGATTTACGCTTTGTGCTGAGTTGATTCATCCGTTTCAGACCCTATCTGGGGTTGTTGGAATGCTAGTAGCATCTGTTTTCTGTCAAGAGCTTTTCCTACTTCATTTCCACTCTGCTGACCATGTTGGTCTTGAAGGGTATTACCATTGGCTGCTGCAGCTCATAGTGTTTGTTTCTGTCATGGCAGCTTTGGCAGCAACTTGTTGTCAAACCAGTCTTCCTGCAGCACTTGTTCTTTCAATTTCAGTGGTATTTCAAGGTTGCTGGTTTATGAACATGGGGTTTTTTCTCTGGGTTCCTAGGTTTGTTCCAAAGGGTTGTGTTGTCCATTATGTAGAGGGCACCAATGATACCATGCTTGGAGCCGTAACTTGTCAGTCAAGTGAGGCTGATTTTAGGGCAAGAGCATTGGCCAACTTGCAATTTAGTTGGATACTTTCTGGAATTTTGATATTCACAGGTTGTACATGCCTGAAATTTGCTGTCAAATGCATTCCAAGGGACCTGCCAATAGAGTATGAGCAACTCCATTGCAGAGGAGCAGATGTCCCTATAGTCATAAATGATTTCAAAGATGCTCATCCATAGAATTTTTAGTAGTAAATAGGAGCAAGTCCAATGTCATTTGCAAGGACAACATATATGACACTTGATTTCTGGGATCAATAATGTATCAAAATTGGGCTGGAGTAGCTCTTTGATATTTGTTTCCACAATTTCAAATTATATATCTTGATATTATGAGATTTTCTTATTTATGCTGAGAGAACTGAAAAGGTAACATTGAACCCCCATGTACTCTGGTTGGGCATGTATAGCCATTTTCTATGAGAAATCATTTATATTGTTGCCCTAACATTTTTAAATAATCTAGGGCCTAATTTTGTCTCTAGAGCATCTCCACCCGATATGTCAAATTATCGTGTGCACATGAAATGGTAAAAATTGAAAGAAAAGAAGATTACTTCAACCAAGTTGGAGATAAAAATAAATAATCACATGAGCTCCATTTGTGCTTAAAGATATAATAAAATAATATAGTTTATGATATTTCAGGTAGAGAAAAAAAAAATTACAAAGTGCCAGATTGGAACCTAATTCATCAACTAGATCAGTGTCACTCTCAAATGCTTAAACAATTAAATTTGTCCTAACTTGGCCAACTAATGCCACTAAAATTTCAATGCATGGATTATCATCTGACCTGACCAGTAAAAGAAATAAAAAAATTCCAAAACTGTCTACAAGAAAAAGGGGATGCCCCCAGTCCTTTTAGAGATTCAGAAAGATTTTACTCTTTTTGTTATAGTTTGTTTTCAATCATGTGGGAGATGAACTACTTTGTTGGTAAAGCTGGTGCACAATAAGATGCAAGTATATATACAAGAATGAAAAAACTTGGTCCAGATCCTATTTCTTGAACTGGTTTATTTATCCAATGGAAACTTTAGATTGGATGCCTGTTGCTAGTTTGGCTTAGATTAGATATCCAACTCAATGCACCAGAAAATGAAAATATATAAATCATTGCTACATACATCAAATGAAGTATTTAAAGAGAGATACAATGTAAATATTTAGCAAAACACAGAACCAACCATCCCATAATTCTTACTCAGCCTCAGCTGCCTCCTCCACGGATGCTTCGATTCGAAGAAGAACAAACCCTACTGCAACTCCAACAAGTGTAAGCCCATTCATGATTGCTGCAATCTTGAAAATCTCCCCAACAGCATTGCAGGTAGAGGAGAGTGCCCCTCCTCCACCTCTGCCTTTGCCCTGCGAAGGGGCTCTCAAGGAGCTCACGATCTTTGCAAAGGACTGCTCAGTGCCCTGTGGAAGGCCAAGAGAGGCCACACTGCTGTGAGCTTTCAGCCCAGAAAATGAATTGAGCCCTGTTATGTAATTCACATTGTTTGTTGCCCTCCTTGGCTTGGCCACTGTGGTTGTGGTGAACATTGCTGGAGACACAGTAGCTGAGGCTGTTGCCATTGTGGAAAACTTCCGCAAAAGAGAGAGAAAAAAAAATGGTACAAAGATTTAGACAAGATTAACTACAAACAGATTTTGCTGGTAATGATTATATTGTCACCTTTTTTTCTTTTCTGCGGTGGTGCTTGAAGTTTTTCAGGCTTCTGCAAGTACAAAGATGATGGGAAAAGCAAATGAGTGACTTTGTATTGGCATGAGATAAAAGATGAATGGATAAGGTGAGGAAGGGGATGGTTGGTGGACAACAAGATTTGGATGAGCTTAGTTTCTAGAGAAAGATTGTGTAACTTTAAATGGTGGCCAAGGAAAAACATAAAACCATGGCGTGACAGTAAAGAATAAAGACTGACTACAATCCTTGTTTTCTTTGAGGCTGGGTCTTTTTTTCCATGTTGGAATAATATGGGCCGAAACTATCACCTACAAAATTTAACCATTGGGTCTTCTCCATGAGATCCACTTTCAACATTACAACAACATCGAAATGAATGAGCCAAAACCAATTAGAAAAGTATTATTTTGATACAATCGATATTATATTTAATTTAATATAAATTAAGGAGAGAGATTTGAACTCGGTTGCAGAGTGAGGAATATATTCGCTCTAGCCAACCTAATATGTATTTTTTACACAACGAACCTTTTCTCATCTAGCAAAGTAAATGAATGTTTTATATAAGATTAGACTATAGTTTGTATTAAAAAATTAAATAAACAAAGCTTTAAAAGCAGACCACATAATTGAATTGAATAGTTGGCTTAAAGCGAAAGGTTATTGGAACGGAAGGGGAAAAAAAAGTAAATAATAAAAATGAAACGTATTTATAATTAAACATATAAAGAACTAACAACAGAGTCGTTGTAGTATAGTGGTAAGTATTCCCGCCTGTCACGCGGGTGACCCGGGTTCGATCCCCGGCAACGGCGATTTATTTTTTAAGTCCAACGTTCCAAACTCTCTGTTTACCTTTTTCTCCATTTTTCACTAACCAATCATCAAAATAGTTAATGAACCCATTCCGAACTCTCTCTCTCTTTTTCCTTTTCTTTCTCTCTTTATATTCTCAGCAACCAATCACTAAAAAAAGCACTAATGAACCCATCAGATTCCAGAAGTAGAACATGGCCCTTTAGTTTCTTTTTTCTTTTCTTTTTTTCTTTTTCCTGCTGGTGGGAAATTATAAATGTTAATGATTTTTTGGAATTATATGACCATAGCGACAAATCGATTAGATGCTTACAAAATGTCAAGCTCAAAACTTATGAATATGATGACCCTTAAACTCAAACAAATGCAACTTACAACTACACACAAACACATCCACAGAGAGAGAGAGAGAGAGAGAGAGAGAGAGAGAGAGAGAGAGAGAGAGAGAGAGAGCGCACTGGCCTTAAAGAACACAAAGTAAAAGAAGAACAGCTGAGCCCAAAGATAAAAAATAAAAGAAGATCATTCAAAGTTTAAAGCGAAGAAAAGGAGAACCCATTACGCATCCGAAGCCCCCACAAGCCAAACCACATTAAAGCAAAACATCAAACTAAAATAAAACAAATTATATTCATAAAAAAAAAGGCAGAAATCGTCCATGAACTTAAGCTCAAGATATAAAATGGAAATTTACCATCTACTTCTGAGAGAGATGCGATTAATAAATATGATGCAAATAGTTTTATTATTTCGGTTTGATTTTAAAAGAAGACTTGCATGTGAATTATCTTAAGCCCAGGCTCGTAGCCTACTAACTTTTTTTAATTTTTTTTTTTTTTTTTTGCCTTGGCCTCAGCCTACCACCTTTTCAAAAAGCACAGCTTGCTTTCGGACATAAAATAGTATAAATCTTGTAGTTTTCTATTTCTCAACTTTTCAAAACTTCCAAATCGAGTATTAGGTAGTCTTGTCTATCTTTTTAAAATGAAGATACAAAAATATTTATATATTTGACCTAATGTGTAATCAATCACCATATTCTCTTATTAGGTAATAATAATTAAATTTTTGTAGATACGACGTTTGAAGTTAACAATTTAAAAACATAACATGTTAAATTGTTTAACATTCGTAAACACTAAGAAGCGATAAAGAATGAAGCAAAAACCCCCCAAAAGGTCATGGCAAATTACAACCTAGTTGAAATTTTCATGTATTTTTTAGTTGGTCAAAAGAAGAAAGGAAATATTCCCACGATCCAAACAATCCCATGGCAAATCTTTTGGCTTTTTCGCGAGTCCTTCACGAAATGTGGACAAGCCACCTCTTGGCCAACCCCCACTCTCCCACTTGAGAAAAATAAAAAATTATACAAATATTATAAAGAAAAAGAATAAGCCGTATGAAGTAAAAGACAAAAAATTATTTGTTACAAGCAGCATCTTGAGCTGACTCAGCTTAAGATGCGACCCTTCCCCTTTTCGACAGCTTAATTTTCGGCAACCAAACAGAACTATGACTTCTTGGATAGTAGAGGATGTATAGCATTAACTTGTGGAAGAGGCCAGCTCTTTTTGGTGTACTAACTTGATTGATCCCTTGGTTTGATATGAACGAATTTGTGTTCGTTCGTACGAGAGTTGATGTGTTAATTAACAGTTGATTATGATCAGTAATGTGCTTAGCTAATGATCAAAAATGTTATTTTTATTGCAAACAGGTGTCATGTTGTGAATTTTTCAGTTGCAGCTGCCCAACTCATCAAATACCAACCCATGACTTCCGTTGATCTCTATAAAATTCTGGAAAAGGTTGCCACAAAAAGAAAGAACTGAGCCGAAAGTATAATATAATGAGGCTTTTCCTTTTGGACATTTAGAATGAGAATAGTGACTTTGAGTGAGTGAGGCCTCTCTTTTTTACCCCCTTTTTTTCTTTTCTTTATTAAAAAAATTATAAAGACAACCTAAAAAGATGGTTTTCAAGGAGATTCTGAATTCTTTTCTTTTTGACCATATTTCTAAACCCTGTGCTCTCTCCACCTGAGCTTACGAACATCTAGCGTCTGAAGATCAGAGGAAATGTCACATAAAAAAAAAAACTCTGTACAAATGCAAATGAGAATGAAGGATGGTCGAGCACAAACAAATGCTTTGAACAAAAGTTAACACCACCATGAAAAAGAAAATTGAGAAGATTAGGATCCTAGTATTGCACAATCTATTTACAGTGCTTGTCAAGACACAAAAAATTGTATTGAAACTCCTAAACAAAGAAAAAAGTTTCCACTATGTCATCCTGAAAAGTTCCACTAAGTCCACATGAACAACTCAGATCACTACCCAAAGAGGAGATTCTTTGATACAGTTTAGACATCCAAATTTACCAGCCAGGTAGCCGCTAATTTCTAATCATTTTAGCTTGGCTGGCATTTTGCTGTGGAGGTTGGTTCACAAATCCTGCAGCTTCGACGACACAAAATACAGTAACTTTCAGCACAACCTCCTTCATCTTGAGCAACTCAAAGACACAAACATCTCCCTCTCCCAAATTGTTCTCCAGCGTAAACTCATACCATCCCTGGCTTAATTTTGCTCTACCTCCTCTGTAAAGGCATCGAACCGGCCACTGTCTACCATCAGAGGATTGAAGTTTGATGAATCCTGAAACTCCATTTAAATTCTTTTCGGCAAAGCAGGATGGCAAATACTGCACTAGGAAAAAGACACTTTAAGCCAAGATATAACAATTTGAAATCGACAAACAAGCTATAGCACATCTTATTGAATGACTCACCATTATGCAACCCCTATATAGATAGGATGGTCGAAGGACAACCCTGCAAAAAGGATTAACTGGCTCAAACGTTTTGGCTGCATTAATAGCCCTTTCTCTTTCTTCAGCTGTCACAGTTCTCTTCCTTGCA